TAGAGGTCTTCTGGAAGTCTATCCAGCTCCTTTCTACTTCCATTTACCCCCTGCCCTGCTGCTCTGTGTGCAGGGCATTTGGAGCATTAGCAGACATTCCTTAAGTTGCATACGAGGAACAGATCCTCAACACCTCCTCCCCTAGGTCTCCCCATTGCTGCTGGAGGCCCCAGTGTGCTGCTTCAATTTCCTTGGCATCAGCCCTATGAAAAGTTTTCCTCCAGCTCAGCTGGGAGGAGACAGGGGTACCTCTTCCTGTGGTGGATGGCTGTGCAGGCTCCATCATTGTGAGGAGCAGCAGTGTCCACGGCCCTTCTTCTCCCACCACTCCCCAGCTGGATCTGTTCCTGTCTGTCTCCAACAGCCCACCTTCCTCACATTCACATCCCCCCCTGAGGGCCATCGGCTGGGGAGTTAAGCCCCAGGGCTGCTTTCCACTGGCCCTAGCCCACCTCTGACTCCTACCCATGCTGCTCCTTCCCTCATCTCTCTTCAGCCCTGACTTGGGCTGTGTGCCCCAGCACCCCCTGGCTCAGAGGGTCTGCCGGCTAGGAGTGGGTGACTGGCCTAGGCTCTCTTAGGAGTTGGAAAAGTGGCAGCTTTCTCCTGCCAAGAGCTTCCCAGGGTGTGGATTGAATTTTTCCCTTGCCCAGCCCTCCACCAAAAGCTGTTTTTGTCTCTGAATGCATAACCAGAGCCACCAAGGGGGAGCACTTTAGTACCCTGCCCCCTTCCTGGTGCTGGCAGGAGGGGGGGGCATCTTGGGGGTGGGGATTAGGGCAGGACGGAGAGCTAGGTTTAGAGTTTGGGGGTGAGTATAATGGAAGAAAATCAGGATTATAGCTGGTTTTGGGATCAGGCCCAGGGCTGAGCTGGGTGGGAAACTGTTGTGGGGAGCTCTGTGGGTGTGGGGAACCAAGAGGGAGACAGGAATGGCATGTTCCCATCCTGCTCTCCTCTGAACCTGTTTCAGGAAACTGGTAGGACAGCAAATCTCTGATTATGCCCAATTGCCCCACTTCCTTGGCCTGGAGCCCTTAAATACCCTGACCTCTGGCCTCAGCATCTTTCCCATCAGGAAATCAGTCGGGCCGCAGCATTGCACAGGTCCTGGAGGTGCCATCCACCAATGAAACTGGAGCCCGCAGGAGTTATGCAGTGTTCAACCTATGTGGCCATACACAGCAGCCCTGGGGACTCTGCAAGATGATGGGGCGAGGTCATTTCTCTCCCTGAGCCCTGGGCCCCAAACCTGCCTTAACTCTCTGAGCACCCATACCCACCTGACCTTACACAGAGGGCTCAAGGCAGAGGCAGATTTAGGTGGCAGTTCCTGCCCCTACCCTGACAAGTCCCAGCCAGTCTGGGCCTTGGGTTGCCAGCCTATAACATGGAGCTCATCTCTCCCCCAGAGCTGGTCCTTCCTCCCTGCCACGGGGCTGTGCCACTTTGTTTCCCTGGCACTGGCCCTGTTGGTGCTGCTGGAGGCTCTGGCCCAGGTGGATACCAAGAAGATGGTAAGAAGCCAGTGTGTGGTCCGCCCTAGAGCCTGCTACCCCATCTACTTCCTCCTGCTGCCTGCATTCTGGGTCGGCTACTGTCTTCAGTCCCCACAGGTGGGAATGGGCTGCCTTCTCATCCAATCCCTGAGGCTCCTCAGCCAGGACTCCAAGTTCCCTGGGGTGCAAGGATGGGAGGAGAGCAGGAGGGGATTCTAAGTGTTCGTGATAGCTGTTGGCTACAGCTGCGTCCACCAGCTCTCCCCAGGGCTGCTCAGGGAACCCCAGCAGGGGCTGAGCCCTAGCTCCCTGAAGTTCAGACTTCAGAGACCCCGTGTAGGTGTGGCTGCAGGTAGGCAGATGTCTCTATGTCGGTCATCTGGGAGTCTGAGTGGGGAAGAGTATACTGAAGTATATGAGTATATGGGGAGGGTCTCTGGGAAGAGGTTCTTGACAGGAAGCAGGAAGGGTTCTTAACAGGGCCAAATCCAACGTCCCTAACTGGCTCCAGTGGCTTTGGGAGGGACCTAAAAGACCATCTGGTTGGCCTGGGTTAGGAAGGCCTTCTGGGGGAGGGAGGAGCCTGGCAGAGGGCACAGTGGCTTCTAGACACACAGCTTTTGACTGCAGGCCAGGGCAGTTCTAAAGGCCTGCTCTGAACCTCACCTACACCTTTGTAAGTGTACCCCCACTTTCCTCAGCCTGAGTCTTCTAGATCTGAATCCTGGGCTAGTCCTATAATTCTCAGCTCCTAGCGAAGCTCCTGGGGACCTGGGTTCTGTTGTCGGCCTTGCTGCCAGTTTGTGTGTGATTTGGACTAGTCTCTTTTCTGCCCTCCTCCATGGACGATTCTTCCAGCTCTAACCTTCTGCCCATGCTTCACACCACCCTTCAAGGTCAAGGGAGCTTTGAAAATGGCTTATCGGATGTTCCTTCTCTCTGCCCCACGATCAACATACGCATACACCCAGAGCACAAGCAGACCCCTGCGGGCTGCCTCCACCCCCGGCAAGGCCAGGTGCCTGGCTGGGCTTGGCACTGACCATGCCAGGGACCAGTGGGTGAGTTGGGAGTGTCAGGGGGAGGCCAAAAGAGGGGAGCAGCACATCATGCTTTATAATTAAACTCAAATCAAAAAATAGAAACAGCATCAAGTGTGCGGAGACAGGGAGCTGGAAGCAGACAGCACAAAGTGCCCGTCAGAGAAGACCACAGCCTGGGCCAGATACCCCCACAGGTGGGTGAGGGCCCCTATTTCAGGGGGGCCATGGAGCATGCTGGGTCATGAGGGCCAGGTCACCTGGGCCTGTGTGTGTTGTGGGGGGACTGGGTTATGTTGGAGGACAGACTGGATTAGAGACAGAAACACAGACAAAGCAGAGTCAGAAAGATGTGGTCTTGCATCCTGGATCCCATGTTAATCGGCTTTGTGACCTTGAACATATTGCTTAATCTCTCTGAGCCTCAGTTTCCTCATCTGTAAAATGGGGATGATAATATTATCTGCTTCATAAGGGTACTGTAAAGATCCAGTGAGAAAGTGTAAGCATTTAGCTCTGTCGATACATAGTACATCCTTAGTAAGTGGCAAATAGAATTATACTTACTGCTGGACAGAGAAAGAAACCTCAAGAAACACAAAGAGATGGAGACTAAGCCTCACTGCCCTGTGGGGAGGTTACCCTCCAGCCAGGATATGGCTGAGGCTTGAAAGGATAAGAGTAATAATAATAGTAATGATAAGAGTAAGATGCTCCCTATGGGGGGCATATATCATAAGACAGGCCCTAGGGAGGGGGCCTTACATTTAGGAAGGCCCCTTCATGAAATTCTCACAGCAGCCCCATGAAGGAACTGGCTAAGCAAAGACCACACGAATACCAGCCCTGAGAGCTCTGCCCTCACGGGCCTGCAAGCTGAGTGCTGAGCCCCACTGGCAGCTCACCATCGGCTGCCCACCTGCTACCTGCCCCACGGCGTCCTTCGCCAGACTCCTCCTGCGTCCTGCCCTCAGGTCGCCTGGCCACAACTGTCCTGTGGCCACAGTCCCATCTGCTTGGGGGGGGCGCGGAGGAGGGGAAAGCAGAGAGACTGGGTAGGAGGGAAGGCCAGCGGGAACATCCGGAGCTTCAGCTGAGGAGGTGGATGGCCACAGCTGCCCCCTTGCCGTGAGGAGGCCTGGGCGTGGGCCTGAGTCCACGGCAAATGCCGGGTGGTGTGGCGAGCGTGGTGGAGGAGCATGAGCTCCTGTGAGAGGCTGGGGAGAGCCACATGGAAAGGAGGAGGGACGCACACAAAGACAAACAAGCGCCTCAGCTTGTAAACAGCGCAAGAGCAGAGAAGCTACTGCTTACGGAGGCAGCTGTTGGACTTCGGGAGAAGACACAGGAAGGAGGCAGAATGAGGGCCGGAGTGAATGAGGAGAAGAGCCAGGCCTGGGCCGTCCCTACAAAATGTTGGGCCCATGCTTCGCCCACCGACTTCCCTTCCTTGGGTGTGTCTGGAGCTTGAAGGATGAGCCCTTGGGCAGGGGGCTGGACCCCAGGGGGATAAAGCAGACAGGTGTGGGGGTACATCCATGCATCCCAGGGGGATAAAGCATCAGGTGTGAGGCTCTAGGTGGGACCAGACAAGGAGTAGCCCCTAAGTCCAAGGAAAAGGTCCCATTCTCCAGACTTGGATCTAAGGCCCCTCAGAGGTTGAAACATGAACTGTGGCCTAGCAGCCCCCAATTCCTGACCCCTATGCTGTTTCCTTCTCTTCCTGGGAGCCCCCTGGGACCAGCTCCGTCTCAGCCAGAGCCGGGCTGCCTGCTCCCCGGCACAGCTGGGCTGCAATGCACCCACTGGCCACAGGGTGGCGGCCATACCCCACACCAAGTTCAGAGGCAGGGGTGGGCCTGCCTGCCTTCCCGGAGCTCCATGTCAAGCTCACCTGCGGCTCACTCAGCCCCAGCTTTTGGCTCCACACCAGTGTGGCTGTTGGGTAAGCCTGGGGCCTGGGGCCTTCCCCACCCCCAGCACACTACGCTGCTCCCTACCCTGTGGTTACCACAAACCCAGCCGCTGCTCTCGTTCTCAGGTCAGACCCACCAGGGAATCCTAAATTCAGGCAAGGCCAGGATCTCGCACACGAGACAGACAGGTCATGGCCCAGACAGGAGCCAAGACTTGCTGGAGGCCACAGAATGAGCTATGGCCACGCTCTCCTCCCTCCCTCCAAAGTTCTCTTTCCACCGCTTCAGGTAGCCTCCCATGTCCATGGGGAGTTCCCGGGCCAAGAGCCTTTCGTCCCAAAGAGATGCCAAGCAGAGCGAGGTCTGGGGGTTTGGAAGGACTGCACTTCAGTCCACAGCGGCCTAGGTCTGCTCTTAGACCCCACCCCCACTGGCTCCAAGGGAAGGACCTGGAATTCTAGCCACTTCACAGCATTTGTGTTCCGGGCGGAACCCGCCCCAGCCAGGTTCTGCTCGGGTGCTGAGTCCCGTCCCTGTACCCACTCCCCCATTCCTGGCCCCAGGCCATGCCCTAGGTAGGTGGCAGGCCACTCAGCCTGCCCTGAGAGATCACAGTGGGGGATGAGGGGGAAAGCTGGGTCTTCACTTCCACCCTGCCCACCGGCTGCCCACTGGGTGAGCTTGGCCAAGCCAGTGGCCTCCTGGGTGCCCATTTCTCTTCCTGGTCCTATCACTGGCTACCCAAGAGAAAAGATGTTCTTCCCAGTTTGTACCTTCCCTAGTTACTGGTTGAAGGGGCCAGGGACGATTAGCCAAGATAGGCACTCCTTCCCAGCACCGCACCAGCCGCAGGTTCTGGTGCCACTGACATCCCGGCTCCGCAGGGGCTCAGACACCCCCAAACAGCCGACACCTGACACAAGCCACCCCACCTGGGTGAGGCCTGACCTGCAGCACTGGCCTGAGTCGTGGGGGTAAGGACGAAAATCCCAGGGCCTGGAGGTAGATGTGTGACAGCAGCGCCAGGCTCCCCTGTAGAGACAGATGGGTTAGTGACCACTCTCCGGAGTCTCCAAGGTAGCAACTGGAAGGCCTGGAGACAGAACTGAAGGGGCATAACTGGATTGAAACCCCAGCCTTGCTCCCTATCAGCCACACAGCTTTGGGCATCGCTATATACATTCTGTCTAACCTTTAGCTTCCTCCTATGTAAAATAGGGACCTATCCCAAGTGAGGCCTCAGGCCCTTAAGAGGCATCAGCTTACTCTCTATGGAGATGCTCTCAAATGCCATTTCATGGCCCAGGACCCCTCATTCTTGAGATGGGCTCTGCCCTTCAAGCACCCGAAACTGTGAGGGACCAGGGACCTGGGGACCAGCCCTGGAAGTAGCAGAGGAGGGGGCTTGAGATGAGCTGCCAGGTTGTGGGGCCTTCCTAGGTGCACTCTGTGGTCCCCATCCCTACAAAGTCCCAAGTACCAGTGACTTAAGGAAGGCAGGGTGTCTGTACTGACTAGTTGCTACGGACAGGGAACTCCAAGGGCCGCTTGGCCAAAGCTTCTAATATCTGGAAAGGGCAGGAGAGACCTTCCCAGCTCCACAGTGGTGACAAGGAATTGATTCCCTTGTTCCCTGGGAAAAGGATCTAGGCCTCAGCCCTAGCTGAGCTGGTTAATAATGTCATCCAAAATAGCTGAGGCCCTTCCTGCTGCATCCTGGTGGCCCCTGGGCACTGCACCATGCCTGCCCCACCCCCCCCATCAGCTGGACCCACTGGTGGGGATCCTGCCCCCAACCACCGTAGTGTCCATTCTGTTTCAGGATGGACTCACTGCAGAAGCAGGATCTCCGGAGGCCCAAGATCCACAGGGCAGTCCGGGGGTCCCCCTACCAGCCGCCCACACTCGCTTACCTCCAGCGCTTGCTGTGGGTCCGTCGGGCTGCCATGCTGAGCCATGTCAATGAGGTCTGGCCCAACCTCTTCCTAGGAGATGCGTAAGTACAAGGGGACAGAAGGCGAGCCTCTCCCAGAGTCCTGCAGGGACAGAGGTGGCACCCTCTTGGCCTCCCACCATCTCTTTCCACACAATCCTATCCTCTTATGTTATTAATTTTAACCGTGGAAACAGAACACACATTAAGAAAAGTGCATACAGCACATATGAACGGTTTCCCCATCCACGTCAAGAAACAGGACGTTCCTTATGCCCCAGAAGTAACTGACCCTTCTCAACATAACCCCTTCCCCTGTAGATAATTCCTAAGTGTTGGAATAATTATCTCCTTGCTTTTCTTTATAGTTTTAACATCTATGTACCTCACAATATAGTTAGTTTTGCTTGTCTTTTAAAGTTATATGAATGGAATCCTACTGTGTGCATTTTGTGCCTGGCGTTATTTGCTCAATGTTGTCAGATTCACCCATGTTCTATGCGGCTGCCACTCACTCACTTTTCATTGCTGTATACTATTCATTTGTGTGAATATACTGCAGTTTATCTGTTTGATTGTATATGGACATCTGAGTTGTTTTGACTTTTTGGCTATTGTGAACAGTGATCCTAGGAACAGTCTAGTACATGGGTCCTGGGAACACACACAAACACACACACACACACACACACACAACACATACACGTTTCTCTCAGGTGTGCAGTTATAAAGAAAGTGGAATTGTGAGTCATTTTCCCAAAAGTTTTCCTAAAATTTGAAACATATGGGTCAAATATATGTGGATTTTAGAAATTTTCCTTAATATTTAGAAAATATGATTCAATGTCTTGCTAATAATATGGCAAATATGCCATCCCCCCACCAGATAACCAGCAATAAAATCCTCATTGACTTTTAAAAAAATGCATACACACATATGTACATAATGGCCTTTTCACATCTTTTTTTTACAAAAATGATACCTCTTTCTAGTCCCATTTTGCAACCTACTTTATGTAGAAAGCTTTTTTAAATGGAACCACATAACATCTTTTGAAAACATTTTTAAACAGGTTCTATATTGTATCCTGCATTTTTCACAGGTTCTCAATTTAGCACAGACACCTTTCCTCCTTTACCTGCAGCTACAACATTTTGGGGGTTGCACAGTATTTCATTTAGCTATACCATATCAGTCTCCTGTTATAGGATATTTAGTGATTTTTCTCAATGTTTCACTATCTTGAATGTCATTAGATCCACTTTATATACATCTGTGGGCACATTTTGGATTTTTTTAAGTTCCTAGAAGGGGACTTGCTGAATCAAAACATGTATATATTTTGTATATTTTTAAGGCTTTTGATGCATGTGGCCAAACTGCCCTTGGCTAGAGTGAAAGGGAATCTTGAACTCCAACTAGAGGAGCCCCTTCACTCAGGCCTGTTCACTCTTTCCAGTCTCACACTTGGAGGGGAACAGCAGAGGAGGGAAAGGGATAAGTTCCAGCCTGGCCAGAGGGGCCCCAACAAGACCTGCTCCACCTCTCAACTCCCCCGTGCCTTCCCTCCAGGTATGCAGCCCGGGACAAGAGCAAGCTGACCCAGCTGGGCATCACCCACATCGTGAACGTTGCTGCGGGCAAGTTTCAAGTGGACACAGGTGCCAGGTTTTACCGTGGAATGCCCTTGGAGTACTATGGCATTGAGGCTGATGACAACCCCTTCTTTGACCTCAGTGTCTACTTTCTACCTGTTGCTCGATACATCCGAACTGCCCTCAGTGTTCCCCAAGGTGAGCTGCTGGGGAAGGCACTAGGGTTGTGGGTGGGGGGTGGGGGGGTGAGATCTGGGGCACTTTTTGCAGTAGCACGGGTGGGCTGGGGGGGGTGTCCAGAGTCACAAACCTCTTCAGCAACCTTCCCACCCCATGGAGCAATGAGCTACTACCATTTAGTGAGTGTCCCCTTCGGGGGACCAACAATCAGACATAGTTAAGGTCCAGTGTGGTTGTCAGTGTAACCATATCCCCCAGGAAGTGTGTTGGACGGAAGGTACAGGACCTAACAAAGGCTGAGAAGGCCCTTCTAAGATGAGGCCTTGGAATAGGGCTGGCAGGGACAGAACTGGGGGGAAAGGGAGGTAGGTGGATACCCCCTGTCATCTGCCACAAATCCAGGGGACTCCAGAAATCCTATACCCCCCTCACTATGTCAGAGTTGCAAAGGATGCCAGAGGAAGCACCTTGGACCTGGAGAAGGGAATCCCAGCTGTTAACCTTAGCTGGGCCACTAACTTGCTGTGTGACCTCGAGCCAGTCCCTTTCCCTCTCTGGGCCTCAGCTGCCCCATCTGCATGTGAGAACATTGTCAGTATGCCAGGGTGCTGTGACGGGTGGGCTGAAGGATGGCCAGAGGATCTCCAATTCCCAGTGGGATGGTCAGTGCGAGGGCAGGTAGCTGACACCAGGTTGGGTCTTCCCACAGGCCGTGTGCTGGTACACTGTGCTATGGGGGTGAGCCGCTCTGCTACGGTTGTCCTGGCCTTCCTCATGATCTGCGAGAACATGACCCTGGTGGAGGCCATCCAGACGGTGCAGGCCCACCGTGATATCTGCCCCAACTCGGGCTTCCTCCAGCAGCTCCAGGTTCTGGACAACCGACTGGGGCGGGAGACGGGGCGGCTCTGACTTGGTGAGCAGCCGGGAACCCTGACCCTCTGGCCAGCATGGCCCAGCCCAGCCAGCCTGGCCCTGGGAACAGCAGCCTCTGCTGTTTCCAATGACCTTGAGGCATCAATAGCAAGTGGGGGCTTAGCTGAGGCAGAAGCAGGGAGAATTGAGTGGTGACCTTTAGCAGGTGGGATTTCCCTGACCCAATCCAGAGATTCTTTATACAAAAGAGAGTTCAGTCTGTCTCTATAATAAAAGGCTCATCATAATAAAGGCAGGAGATCTTCTGGTGGTTTGTGGGGTGGTGTCTTACTCCCAGGATGGTCACGAGGGTCCAGAAGGCTTGCCAGCTCTGAGTCAGGATGATGGCAGCCTACAGATGGAATCTGAGTCCGTGTCAAGTTTCCGTGAAGACAGAGGGCAGGTGAGGGTTAATCAGTGGTATCCGCCTCAGGTGCAAAAGGGAGGACTGAGGGTACAGCTGGCCCTTCCCTCGTACCTTCACCCAAGAGCTAGGTCGTCAGAATCAAGACCAATGTTCAATGCGTCAGCATCCCTTCCATGCCCACCCTAGCAAAAAGCCATCGTCAAAAACTTGCTGTGCAAGTAGCATCTCTTGAATCTTTTCATCTACGCTGTACTTTCAAAAGGACTGACTCAAACGAGAGGCATCTGGAAAACACAAGCATTAACCGAGAGGATAGGGTCTGGGGAGGAGACAGCCCGGAAATCCCAGGCAAAGGATGGTTATAGGATGGAGCAAAAGATTTCATTCTGAGTTTCTTTGTATTTGTGCCCTAAAAAAACAATGTAAAAAGCCCCCAGGTTCCTCAGGGTTCTGGCCACTGCCTCTTCTCTCCTGTAGAGTTCCCACCCTGCTGGGGGGGGGGGTCCCATCACCCCCACAGCCTCAGTTCACATCTCCAGGCTGATGACTCCTAGAGCCCCCACGGCAGCCCAGTTCTCTCCCCTGAGCTTCAAACCTCCGTATCCCATTGCCCACCTCTATTTGAATATTGCACTTGAATTTCATACTCAGCTGCGCTTTTCCTCAGCCCCTCCCCACCAGCTGAATTCTTCCTTCTTCATTTGAGGGAAGAGTTCTGACAGTCCTTATTGCTCAAGTCAAAGATGGGTGTTATCTTGGACTCCTGCCTCTAGACAATTAGCCTGTGATTCTACCGCCTCGGTACCACTCAGATCTGCTCACTTAGCTTCATCTTTGCTGTGAGTACTTAAGTTCGAGGCACCCTCAGCTCTCCCCTGGACCCTGGATCACCATTAGCAGCCCACTATTAGTCTCTCTGCCTCCAGCCTTGCCCATCCAAGTATCCACACAGACATCTCACTAAAATGGAAATCTGATCACGTCACTACTCTGTTTACAACCCCCTAAGTACAAACAACTTGACAAAATATAAAGATGCTTCATTATCTGAGAACCTTCCTGTATCTCTAGCCTTATCTCCTGTAAATCTGTTCCATACACACCGTGTAATTAAGAAACAGTAAATTCCTTTGCAGTTTCCAGAATGCACCACGTTCTCTTACCTCTGGTACTTTGCACATACTTCAGATTGTACCACCTGAATGCACCACCCTCACCCATTCTCACCGAGGTCTCTATGAGTCTCAGTTTAGCTCTTCTGGACCCTCTAAACCTGAGAGAAGGGCTCATCCACGGGCTGCCAAAATGTCCATCCACCTTTGTGATGTCACCCATCACTCTGAATCATAATTTACTGGTGCCTCGTCATTCTCTTTCAAGTGGCTGTCTCTGGTCAGGCTACCCATGGCCTCAAGGTCCCCGTGGCTCCCACACTCTGGCTATAATCCTGCCCTCAGGTGGAGCTCTGTGGTCATGTGGACCACAGCTACATGTTGTCCCTACAGCCACGAGGCCTTCTCTATAGAGGTCGCCAGGGGGAGGGGATCATCGCTGGCCCCAGGAGTGGGCCTGCCTCCAGAGGGCCCCTCCTCTTCCCCAAGCTCCACCTGCATGCGCACCCCTTGGGCACCCCGACAACCTCCTCCCAGCACATCTCATTCTTCTTTGGCCACATTTGACACTTCCTCCTCACTCCCCACCAGCGCTGTCTGGGGCCAGCTCTGCCTTCTGCGCAGAGGGGTCCTTGTCCTCTGCCATTAGGTCTATCTCCAGAGGGCAGGTGCTTTTCCTTTGCACCAACCAAAAAAGGTGCCTCCAGGAGCCAGGGTGGCTCAGTCGGTGAACCGTCTGCCTTCAGCTCAGGTCATGATCCCAGGGTCCTGGGATCAAGTTCCACATTGGGCTCCCTGCTCAGCGGGGAGCCTGCTTTGCCCTCTCCCTCTGCCCCCCCCCCGCCCCCGCTCCTGCTTACTCTTGCTCTCTAGTGCTCTCTCTCTCTCAAATAAATAAATTAAATTAAATTTTTTAAAAAAGTGCCTTCTTGGAGCAAATCAGCCTTTCAGGCTTATCATTGCTGGGCTTGGTTGAGGAAAAGGTGTCCCTTTCTCCCAAGCAGACGCAGCTCCGAGTCAGGGTGCCCCTCTGAGTGAGTTGAGCACAGGTTGTGTTTAGCCCCCATTCCTCCTTCTGCAGTTCACAAACTGCACAAACATATGCTGCCTTGTCTGATCCGTAGGGAGGAACATCCCTGTTTTATCATTGAACAACCCAAGGCTCAAGAGAAGATAAAATGACGATGGAATGTGCCCCGGGGATGAAGGCTCTCTGGGCTCTGGCCTCAAAAGGCCAGTACTGCCCAGCCAGCTTCCTGCTCCCCTCCCTACAGCCCTTGGTCCTAATCCCAGCTGGTTGTCAGCTACCTGAGGTGCTCTCTGAGCCTTTTCCAAAGGGTAAACATACATCCTAGCTGGAGGATTGCAGAAGGGCTGGTGCTGTGATGCCCAACCAGGCAGGGCCCCTCTCCAATCTGGGGATGGAAAACTGTTCTCAGGTCATCCTCAGGTTGGTGGCGCCTATTCTCCAGAATAGACAAAGCTAGTCCCTGCTCAACAGACCCATCTGCCCACCCCCAATTCCTGTGGATGCCCCCGTGCCTGACAACTCAGCCCTTGTTGCTATTTCTTGCTCATGCACCGTCAGCGGGACCCAAAATAGTGGTTCCAGCAGTCAGTCTCTAAATCAACATCCGGGTCTATGAGTAAGGGCAGCCTGTCCCCGCTGGCTGGGCTGGGAGTGCCCAGAATCTAGGACAGAGCCACACCCTGGGGCTTGAGTTTCAGCAGGTCACCTTGGAGCTTTGAGGTTTGGGCTCAGAATCTGAGGCTGCGGGGGGAAAAGGGAGGGAAGCCCTGAGGAGGCACGTGGTAGGAAGGCCAAACATGCCCCAGAGCATCGGAGGAAACAGGTTGAGCTCGAGACTGGCATCTCCATCGGGAAGATTTCCTGCCTGCCATCCTTGTCCTGGGAAGTCTGCGATGATGCATCTGCTCCCCCTTCTTCTCTAGCACAGCCTCATGATAGAAGTGGGGGTATTGTTAAGAGAATGACCTTGGAGCCAGAGTACCTGGGTTCAAATCTTACCTCTGCCCTTTACCTGAAGTGTGTGACCTCAGTGCATCTCTCCATAACCCAGTTTCCTCATCTGTAACGTGAGAGTCATGATAGCCAACATACAGGATTGTTGTAAGGATTACATGGGGAATATAGGAAGTGCTTTGTGCAATATGTGGAGAGATCCCCAAAAGGAGAACTGTGATCATTGTCACAGTACATAGTCCATGGGCCCCTGGCATTGTCTGCTGCACAGAACCCCGTCTCGGACTGAAAGGCGGCTGTGTTCTCAGTGTTGAACAAATGATTAAAAATTAGCTGACCTAAATGCAACACCGTATTTAGGATTAGATCCTGGAACAGAAGGGTATAAGTAGAAACACTGGTGAAATCTGCCAAGTTTGTGTTTTAGTTAATAGTGTGACACCAATTTTGATCTCTTTGATAAATATGTCATGGTTATGTAAGAGGCTAACGTGAGAGGCAGCTGGTGGTGGGTATACAAGAAAGGTCTCTATTAGCTTTATAACTGTAAATGTAAAATTATTTCAGAATAAAAAGTTAAAGAAACTTGCTGACAATTATGGACTGCTTTGCATATGCCAAGCACTATGCTAAGTGCTTTAGATACATCATTTTTTCCCCAGTTTTATTTCTTTAGGAAAAAAAAACACAAATCAAATATAGCAAAATATTAAGATTTGACCATATTGAGTTGTGGGAATATAGGTGCTTGTTACATCTTTTCTTTTGTATTCTTTTTCTTTCTTCCTTTTTTTAAAGAGTTATATATTTAGTTGGGAGAGACAAAGCATGAGAACAGGGCAGGGGGCAGAGGAAGAAGGAGAGAGAGAGAAAGGATCTCAAGCAGACTCCCCACTGAGCACAGACCCTGACGCAGGGCTCGATCTTATGACCCTGAGATCATGACCTGAGCCGAGACCAAGAGTTGGACACTCAGGTGACTGAGCCACCCAGGCGCCCCTTATTAAAATATTTCCTAATTTAAAAAGTCAAAAATAGATTGACTATCTTAAAATTAGAAACATCCTGTTCTATATATTCAGGTTTTGAAACCCATATCAAATGGATTTTAGGAAGTATTCTGAATTTAAATGGTACCATTTCAATGGCTTCAGGCCTAAAATACTGCAAATTCATATGTTATCCTTTTAAAACCTTCAGGAGGCTTTATTATGGATAATTTTGTTTTAAGAAAAAGGTAACTATGACCTGGTTTATAGTATATAGTGTTTAGATGAAATACGTGTGATCAAAGAGGAGCTAAGTCATTAAGTCAAACTATATATCATTTCATCCCATCCTCACATCCTCACGACCCTATGGGAAAGTTCCTAACATCACCCCCATTTTATAGATGAGAACATAAATGTAGAGAGGTTAGGCCAGAGAGCCCCTAACTTTAATTGAGAGTTTATTATGTACCAGCGCACTAGTCAGGGTAGGCTAATGGCTCCGACAAGCAAAGTTTATTTCTCCCTCACAACACAGGTTGGTGGGGGCATGGAGGGTGGGGGGGGCAAGGGCATGGAGGGTCTGGAGGCCAGATGTGTCATGTCCCCTCCAGTTCTATGAGCAGAACTCAGTCACATGGTCAAACCCAGGTGCAGAGGAGGCTCAGAAATGTAGTCCATCAGAGTGCCCAAGAAGAAGAAACTGCAGATACTAGTGATCATGAATAGGCTTGTATACAGCAGTTGTTGATAGACATATGTAATTATTTAATTCTCATTGGCCATAAGAGGCC